AGATCTACAGTGAAAGTATCACAATTCTTGATTGGATGCACTTGATATATTCAAATTTTTAATTGATCAAATGACATTGCCAATTATTCTTTACATTATTTGTATATTCATCTGGTGTATTGATTAATTAATCACTTCATTATTACTTTCTGCATTTTATAGAAAAACAGCCTACACGAAAATTGCAGAAGAGACCGAGAATCGTTCGAAATATACTCGGTCAGAAGAATTTATGTACGTTTGAAGTTCTATTTAAGACTTGAATAACGAAGTACTGAATGATAATTGATATTTGAGGATTCATGGAAATTATTTGATAAAATTATAATTTGTCTGCTAATTTCAATTTAATTTTAAACATCATTCTTAGTTTATATTAACTATTAATATTTATTTTGTAATGCAGCGGAAGGGAGTTTTATAATAACTTAAGTCAAGCAAGAATATGAAATCAAATAAAAATGATTAAGTGAAACGGAAATAAAAGCTTTTAGATTACCTATGTTGTTGTTGGTCCATAATTTCCGTTAGCGGCTGAATTTGATTTTTGACGGTCTCTTGCAAGAATTGCTTAAAATACTTAGATAATTTCAATCACACCGTTTGTTAAATTATAGTATCAAGACTTAGAAGTCGATACGAATTAAATCTAACTTGAAGAATTTGTCATTAAACAGTTAAGAATGGAAAATTTTGCTTCTGGGATACAAAATAATATGATTTTCATTTGTACTGTAGTTCCTCGCATGAAGAATTTGATGAAATACGGCAACAATTGAATGATAAGGACGCTGAAATTAAAAATTTGGTAAGATTGAAATCTGAATTGGAAAGAAACCTGGAAGAAGTCATCACCAGGTAACATTACTTCTATTATTCGTCCTAATTTTATTTGAAAAATAACATAAGTAAAGTATATAATTACGTGATAATGGAAGAAAAGGCTTTACTCGTTTTCGTTCAGTTTTATGATTTTATGCAAGTATCTTTTTGAATTTCATTGGTGAATTGCATTAATTTGTAGTATAAAAGTACATTTTTGTGAAGTGTGACACCAACTCGTAAATTGTCAATTCGTATCAATTTTTTACTGCTCCGTTTTTTTCCTTTATTGTTTCAAAATTTTAATTTATACTTTTTCAAATTTAAACGTACTACTTCTTTGATACAACAGCAGACAAGGACTCATTCTTCATTCCCTTATTTTCATCTCTTTTTTTTCAGCTTAATAAATGTTGTAACACTGCTAACAAATGATTCAAAATTTTTGGCAGTAAAACTTGCAAGTAGAAGTTGAAAAATCATTCATTTAGTTGTGGTTGCGATAAATTTATTTTTTGTCAGCTTAGTTCGATCGATCTATTAAAAATGAGCTTGTTGATCTCGAAGTTATTACAATCATAGAATACAATTAACTTTGCTAAGTTAATTTTGCATGCGAATTTTTTCTCAATCGACTTTAAGGCTCTTTTTTTGAAGAGGGCCTTGTAGTACTGATTGATCAAAACTGCAGTTTAAATGATTATAGATCTTGAAATTACTTCAAGATTTTTTCTTCAAAAAAGGCTTTTCAGAACTAATCGATTAAATATTGTTAAACTTGGCTATAAATCTTGAAATCATTGACCTTTTCAATGAATCACTGTTAGAGTATCCTATCAGAATGTTACCGTATCTCGGGTCATTCCTCTTCGTTTTAAATTTTTTTCTTTATTTTCCTTATTCTCTTCCATTCTTTAGAAAGACTATTTATAAACATTTCAAACAAATTAAGGAAATAGCGATCGCATGGTTTGTTTCATGTTACAGTAACAGATATAAAATACTAATTATTAAATATCGTATTTCCTCCTAGCCACCTTAAATACCGTATATCTGTTCAATTCTTGGACTTTAAAATTGTTACGGAAATGTTTTCCACTTTATAATTCCGATAAATGCATAAGATGTAATCGATTATAAGCGTAAGCGAAATCTTTTAATCTAGTAAATGATCGGCAATCCGGAATTGTAGCATTTCGGAAATAACGGATTTCATTAGGTTCCGATTTTGAAAAGAACCATCAATAAACGATCCATTTTCTTCCTTTCATAAACTGATTCGTTGTGGCATTTTAAAATGTGTGAATATGATGAGCTCAAATTTTAAAATTTCATTTTTGCAAGGCAAAATACAATTTCATTTTTTCTATGAAGTCATTTGTTGTGCTATAAGAACATATCATATTGAATTAATGAATTGAACCCTCTGATAGTGTAGACATGTGACAACTGAGAAAAAGTGGTATTCTTTTTCTAAACTTTTCCCTAAGAGAAAAGAAATCGGAAATCGGATAGACATTCTAAGATTTCTTACTGAAGGACATTACGTTTCGCATGATTTTTGATTTTTGACCAACAAATGACTATATGAAACGATCCAACTTGCACTTATTTCGAAAATGACGTAATTTTGACTATTTTAAACAAATGCGAGCAAATTCTTCTGATGCTAATTAATTTTGCTAAATCTTTAAAAATAAAAAAAAAAACTAAACACTTTTAATTACACAAAATCCAATTACACAAATGCATCTGAATCTGAAACAACATTCAAAGATAGAATGGCACTATTTGCATGAAATATTTGTAGCAGAATAACTTTCAAACATGAACCAATTGTGCCGGTAAATTTAATGGAATTTACATCCATTCATCTCCATTCACTTTTGTTCCGTTTTTACAATGGAAGAAATCAGAGCATATTCTCATACAATTTAAGAGACATTTCAGTTACCTTTAATGCACTAATTATAACTTGTCTCAAGAAAATATCGATTCATGACAATTTTAATCATTCAGAAATAGTCAAATTTATTGTATAATCTTATTGTCTGGGTAATCCAATATTCATTGTCTCAAATCATAAGCAACCCACAACCTGCAGTTTACCTGTTCACCTGTTTTGATACAAAGTGTAAACAAATACATGGTGTTGTCAACAAATAATTTCATTTTGTAAGAATTAATGATAGTGAAAATGGTGCTGTTAATTTTTTAAAAATGAACTTTTAAAAATCATTTAGCGTTGATTGATCTATGATTCCTGGCATTCAATAAAAGAGAGGAAATGAATGATTGTTATTCAGAAGCTTTCTACTTCTCACTAATCTAATCTCACGTCCTCCTTTCCGAATCATTTCTATATATGAAATATGAATAAATTAATCAGGAAAATAAATTAGTATAAACGCAATGTGTATAAATGTGTTCGTAGAATATAGCAAACTTTTCCAGTGTAGTTGTTTATTTACTGTTTATAATTTTTTTTTCTCTTTTTTCTTTAAATTTTGTTAGATGCAGTAATGTTTAAGTAAGTAAAGAATATTCCGGAAATGTTATAAGATAGTAATTTGTTATTGTTGGTTAGTTAAATAATTAAAACCATTGACACGCTAAATAAGCAAATTGTGTGACAAATATTGCTGCAAATTTCTTTTTGGAGGCAATCAAAAGTACATCTACCGGACAATGCGAATCCGGTTAAAAGAATATAAGAGACTACAATTAAACGGATTCATGTCATCGTGGAATTCTCTGCCGGAGCAACTTAAATTTGCTGAAAAGACAATAAGTCATTATAAATGGACTAACTGGAATGCGTCACATCCAATTACGTGATACTATGTCACATGCAATGACGCCTACGACATCCATCATCTTTTATTCCAATTCTCAATGCTGATTTTCCTAATTACATACAATTTATATGTTCCCTTTTCATCCATACTCATCATTTTATTCCATTCCATCATTCATAATGTTCGAGCACCGGGAATTACTATAATCGCTATAAATAACCCAGAGGAGCGGAAATCTCGGGAATAACTATTTCAGGAACAAAGAGATGTCGGCATTGCTTGATAAAAAAGAACAAACAATTAATGCGATCATTAATGAAAAGAACGCCATTGAAGTAGAACGTAACTCTTTAGAGCAACAAGTTGACAATCTGAAACAGCGATGCCGTACTCTTCCACCTCTTGGAATTGAAGTTCCCAGTGAGGTAATAAATTTGGGAATATTAATTGCGGTACACTTTATTGTAATACGGTACATTATACTGCTGTAATACTACCCCGTCTCATTAATGCAAACATAATGCTGTATGCCTTTAAATACAAAATACTAACCTTAGATCAAAACAACTTTTAAGTTTATTTTCAGGTGACATCCTATTGTTTACCCTTATTCATCTGCAAATGCATTTCAATAATAATAGTTACATCTAATTATTTATCAATATTATTTATTTACTGTTACAGTATGCCCATCATACGTTTGTTATTTTTGCGCCAAGGTTGCGCCAAACAAGCTCACTTGGCTGATGTTTGGGATAGGATTAATTACATTATTATCATTCTGTGAAATCATGCTAGGGCTTATTTGCTGGTTGAGATTACTTTCGGGAAAAGATGTAGGATAATTCAGACAAATAAGATCAAGTTAAAACAATCATTTTGCATAAAATTCATTAATATCTCAAAATATATTCTAATCAATATCTGATAATACTGAAGTGATTATGGTTTCGTTTCAAAATCAAGAAAATCTGTAGGGCGAAGAAAACGCAACCGAATTGATGATCCGGCTATGTGAGAAAGATGATCTCTTGCAGCAATTTACTACCGAGATATCCGACAAGGCGCAAGAGATTACGTAAGTTCACACTTATCACTTTTTCGAAATTTATGCAAATAATTTACGGATGGAGAAGATTTGTTTGTTTTTAAAAGACAGAGAGAGAAAGAGAGAGAGGAAGTAATATACATTGATCATTTGCTGATATTCCATATTCATTTAGTATGCGCTTGAAAAGTTTGATGTCAACTAATCCATTAGCTTGTTTTATATTCGAAATCACTTAGCCTGTTGCTGATGTCTTGGCAAACCTGGACAAAATTTAATTTGTACGTGTTCTCACTCATAGTCTTGTTTAAGTCATCATGCTAATGGCGATTGTATTGCAGAAATTTGCATGATGTAATCAAAGATCTAAGAGATACGATCGGTGAAAAGAATCGGATAATTGATGATTTGAATAGGATAACAAGCGAAAAGGAATGGAATCTCGGCGAGTATCGACAATGGCTTACTGACGCTAACAATAAGTTCACATTTTGCATTTCACTTGCGTATTTTAACGTCATGATCTTATGTTATGACCGTCGCAATAAATGACATATTAGCCTCTGAAAGATGCTTACAATATCAGTTGAAGTGACGATTTATGTGGAAATTTTACAATCTCCTGAAGCCAATTATCATAAGGATTCATTTCCAGTTCTTATATTTGATTTGCTCGAAGTTATTATCCTGTGTATCTTATCACTAGCAATGAATTCCAGAATAGGCAATCTCGAAACGGATCTAAACGATATCCGGCAGGAAGTGAAGTCAAAAAAATTGGAACTGGACAGGCTGACCAGTGAAGTAGATGAGAAAGATGCGACAATTTCGCAACTGCATAATAAGTAACCCCTCATTCATTTAAGCCAGTGACACGTATGGAAATATTTTTGAACATTAGGACAGATTTGACATCATTTTAAGTTTGATAATTATATTTATCTCAAAAATTGAACTTGAATTTCTCAGATCCTTTGATGCTAACTATGTTTTTGTTGCAATTTAGAATAGCGAAACTGGAATCAGAAGCTATTAATGTCCAGTACGAGAAAGAAATGATACCAAATGAGGTATTCAATTTCTAAATTCAATTCCACAGTGATTTCTTTATACTATAAAGCTTTTCAACACAAGCATTAGTAATATCATTCTTGAGACATCTCGTTGCATTCCCGTCATATTTATTGCATTTCAGGATACTTCCTTACAGCTATCGGCATTACGGACGAAACTTTCAAATATGGAGGAATATGTGCAATTTCAAGATGAAGAATTACGACGATTGAAAGAAGTAAAATGATAAAGTGATGTAGTTGAGGAAATGCAGGATAATGACGCTGATAATCCGAATAGCTTATTATACGTCTAAGTATTAGGTTAAGAAAGAATTAAATTGAAGAAAAGATTTACAACACAAATGACAAAATCTTTTTTAAATGCTTCATTGCGGGTGTACGAATTGGATGGATTGAATCAGATGTATGGGAAACTTGCATGCATATATAAATTGATACTTCACACTTCAATTACATAATGATCAATCATTTCGATAAATTATTAAGGACATAAACATTTCGGAGATAATATCCATGAATGTTATGATGCAATGAAAAGTAATTTAATTTTAGGAACACGCACAAATGTTAGCAAATCAACAAAGTGACATACCTCCAACAAGCAGTGTCATACGTGTGTTAAATTTTTCTGCTTTAATTTTCTTGATTTTATAAACATTGTGCATTTTGAAGAGAGAAAAAAAGACCATTATTTTAGAAAATATTTATTTAAAATTGTTGTACCGAGAAAGTACCAAAAGAGCGGTTTTTATGTTAATTTATAACATCATTGTAAAGTCTTCAGGATCTTCTGGATTCGTATTCTGATTCCAAGACATTACTTAGCGTCTAAACTATTTTTATAGATCAAAATTAAGACATCAGGATGTAAATTCAATTACTAAAGATGACTGAATATTTTCTACTTTTAAGAATCTCATGGAGTTGATGACCGGATACTGTCAAAAGAATATAATGAATTATCCTCAGAGTTGATTGTTTTGAATCGTAAGAAGTACGAGTTGGAGGAAAAAGTAAGTGTAAAATTCATTTCAAATTTGAAAAGAAGAAAGACTCTGTTATTTCGTCAAAGATTAACAAATTAGACATCGTATGTCGCCATATAAACGATGTAATTACATTTGTTTGATTTTAATTACTTAAATACATCATAAAATAAATAAATGAATCATATCAGATAAAGTTTTGTTCAATTACTCTCCTTGTATACGATGAAAAGGTCAAAATTGAAAATTAATAAAATATATGAAAGCAATAAAATGATCACTGCAAATGTTGCTATACCTCAAAAAAAAAAACTTTTCAAAAATTTAAAACCGTGTAAAAAACAATTGTTCGAATTTTTTCATGACTTTCTTAAATAAATTTTTGACATAATGTTAGTTGTGATTACGCCTTTCATCTAATTACTCTGTTTCTTGTTTTTTCTTAATTAACTGGTGGTTATTTCAGGCGAAACGAGCAGAAAATGAGTTGCAGCAGTCATATGAAAAGATAAAATCGCTTGAAAATGAGCAGCGTAGAACGGATGAAGAAATATGGCTTGCTAAGGAACGTGTTGCCAATCAGGATCGTGAATTGCAAGATCTACATGGTCAATGTTCTCGGTTAGGTGATGAAAATGCTCGATTGCGGAATGAGTTAGAAGAGGAGCGGAGGAAGGTAAATAACATATCTTCTCATATTATTAAATTAACTGTTAGATGATAATTGCTAATGTAGAGCAAACTTCTTATTTGCTAAAATTAATTACTTGAATTTAAATTCTTTTTTTGATTTCGAAGACTAGTTGATTTTTTGTAGCAAAAATCGAAAATTTAACCTTAAAACTTCTCTTTATTTCATGTTTTAAAATTCTTCGTTTGCTTTGGAACTTTTGCAAATTGAGCCAAGTTTTTAGCATGCTGAAAGTGGTGGCTTTGATTGGACCAAAATTGATGAAATGAAGAAAGTAGAAGATACGTTAAGAGACGAAAAAAGTAAGGTAGAATGGCGATTAGGTGAAGTGACACAGTATTGGAATGATGCAAAATGGAAGTACGATTTGTTCATTCATCCTTGTCCTGTAACTTAAGAATTGGTCGACGGATCAGTGTTAATGAATAAATTGCCGGACTAATTGATTAGATCAAATTCCTTATCTTTAATTAATTTTAATTGATTAGATTTCGCAGAGATGAAGAACTGGTTAAAATTCTGCGATAAAGTTTTGTGATAGCAATGATTTAAAACTGTATTTTATTTAGAATCGGTGAATTAGAAGCCGGTATGGCACACAAGGAATGGCTATTGGATCAGGCGCATCAGAAAATATTCGAGTTAGTTTTCTCTTTCATCCCCTTATTGATAACAGACAGTTGATATAGGGAAAATTAAATTCCATATCATTTGTTATCATTTATCTAACTTATCGCACTTGAATGATTTTAGCACATCGGAATTGGCAACCATTTTCAATTTATTTTCTGATGTATTCGTTGTAGACTGGATCAGTTGTATCGATTCCGTGATACGACAAAAGATATATTGGATGGCACATTCCTGATTAAGAAGCAACCCGCTGGTGATAGATATAAATGGCGTCTAGCTATGTGGTAAGTATCGGTTGTCTTTTACATTTTCTTTTGGATTTTTTCCACTTTATGAAATAAACTTTATTTAAAATTCCAATTTTAGGAATGAGAGTTCACCGGAAGATTTGAAAGATTACCGAAGAATATGGTTTGAAATTAGAGCGCCAGCAGCTAAAATTGTATTATTAAGTGTATGTTTGAATCAATTTTTAATCATTCTGTCTGAACCACTTTAAAATTTTGTTGCAGTTTTCATTTCGAATCAGTGATATTTGCATAATATATTTCTAATTTAAATGGATATTTAGGCAAGTTTCGTAAGTTGGGAATGCTTTTTATCATGTCAACAGTTGGACAATGACGCTGATAAATTTGGTGTTTGGGTTGATATACCACCAGGTCGATATGAATTTCTATTTGTTGTGGATGGACATTGGGCATTAAGCGACAATTACGCAACTTGTTGGAATGAGCACGGAACGCACAACAATTGGCGGCATGTTGATTAGAAGAAGGAATGCTAAACTTAACTGATGATTCTTTTGCTATAATGAAATTTTTCCGGCTCAAACAAACCATTCTGCCTTTTCAACGTTCCCTTGCAAACTCTTTTGAAATTGATATTTGCTTCGTAGTTTCGTTCCCTTCCTTTTTTTTCCAAAAAAATTTGCCTATTTGTATTTGTCAACAGAAATGTAATTAGTGGCATTTCTTTGTCAGAATGAGAAAGTGATTTATTATGGGTAATGAAGCTCGCTCAATTTGAAATAAATAAATTTTATAGTGGCGTAATTGATGATTTAATTCGAAGTTATGCTTAATTAATATTTTGCACTTTTTTTTTGCATAATCACTGAGTGAGAATCGATTAATTTGATGAAGACGTGATGATGACAGAAAATGAATATCGATAGATAAGTTTGCTTCAACTATGGTTGGTGACTTGATGGAAAGAAGTAAATGAATCATTAAGTCATTGCTAATCAGATAAGCTTTGCTGATAACGATATGATTTAAGGGAAATGAGAAGGTGTTGAAAGAAAACAAGTGCTATGATTGTTCCGCCAAGCTCGAAACAGTAATCATTCAGGAGGCTTCATTTATCGACGTGTGGAAATAATGGAATCAAAAACTGTTATTACCTTATTTCCTACTACTTCCTCTTGAATTGATTATATGTTTTGCAGTGTTATGAAAGTGAATTAAAATAAAAATTTGAATGGAATTCTTTGATGATCAAAAATCAGAAAGTCGAGTGTTTTAATCGATTTTCTATTTTTTACTTTTGCCGCGAAAAATTTTTCCTTGGAAGCTGCATCATTATTTATTTCCAAGTAAAATCCAAATAAGATTTGATAAAAATTTTGCAAAATGGAATGACAGATTGATCCAGAAAATCAAACTAAACTGATAGTAATTAGTCATTGAACTTTGACCTGAATTGATGGTAATTTGACTACCACAAATCTGAGTTTTATTGATTTAAACTGTTTCTAAATTTTTTCTTACCTTTTTTATTCCTATTTTAGATGTAAAGATAATAATGCATACCAAAATCACCATAGTGTAGTGAAAAGAAACAAACAAGCAAAAATGATATCATTTCATATAAAGCGCAATTGTCATTACATGTTGCAATTTTCAACGGACCAAAAAAAGGCATATTTTTAGCGGTAAAGATTAGGCTTAAAAAAGTATAAATTAATGAGATATCCAGAATAGAATGGTTGATAACAATAATCCAAAATTGTTTATTATTACTTTCGGTGATCTTTTTGGTTCCACCATTGATGTTGTCGAAATTATAGCTAAATTAATGAAATGTAAAGTTTGGCATGATTTAAAACAGATAGAGAATATAATATTATTAAAAATATCGTAGACAAATAACTTACATGTTGTGGTAGTATTCATTGTAGTTGTAATTGGCACTATAATAGATGAAATTAAATTTACATGAATAGTAAGAGTTTGTTATGGTCTTTCATGCCTTATCAGTTATCTATTTGGAAACATATTATTCCACTTTAATATATAAGTATTAGTTTTTAATACTCAAAATAACTAACCCGTTGTAGTTTTCATTGTAACTGTAGACGATGCTGTAATAAATGAAATTAAATTTGATATTGAACAAATATGCACTAATCGTGATTTTCCATGGTTATCATCCAGTCATGATTTTTAATGATTATCAATCAATCGTGACTTTTCATGATTATCAATTATCAGGGTGTTGGTCATAACTTATTTATTAGTTCATTTGAAACATAAATCTCAACTGACCCGTTGTAGTCGCCACTGTAGTTGTAGATGATGCTGAAATGAATACGAAATGCTCAGTATAAAAAATACGAATCACAATTTTTCAGATTATCAATATAAATAATATGAACCATGATTTTTCATGATTATTAATGTAAGCAATATGAACCATGATTTTTTGTGATTATCAGTTGGAAAATATGAATCACGGTTTTTCATGATTATCAGTTAAGAAATATGAATCATGATCCTTCGTAATTATCAGTATAAATAATGTGAATCATGATTTTTCCTGATTATCAGTTGATCCCCACCGTGTTAATCAATTAGGATGTTGGCCATAACTTATTTATTAGTTCATTTGAAACATAAATCTCGACTGACCCGTTGTAGTCGCCACTGTAGTTGTAGATGATGCTGAAATGAACACGAAATGCTCAGTATAAAAAAACGAGTCACGATTTTTTACGATTATCAATATAAACAATATGAACCATGATTTTTCATGATTATTAATATAAACAATATTAATCATGATTTTTTATGATTATCATTTGGAAAATATGAATCACGATTTTTTATGATTATCAGTTGATCCCGACCGTGTTAATCAATTATCAGGGTGTTGGCCATAATTTACTTATTTTCATTTGAAACACAAGTGTTCAACTAACTTGTAGTCTCTACTGCAGTTACAAACTACATAAAATCAAGTTTTATATTTAGTTGCAATCTATGATCACTTATCAATTATTAGCTCTGAATCATAGCTCTGATATTAGTTGAATAGAAATAAATCAATTTGAAGTTTGTTGGGTACAGGCCATAATATAGAGCAATCGAACAATGGAAAAGAACAGGAATTAAGCACGACTTCTCTTAATTAATGAGGTGTCAACTGTGAGAGATAACTCTAATTACACTAGCAAATGACGCTTTCCTTAGTATTGTAATAAGAATACTTAATACATGATAGCGTATATCACGCAAACGCTTTTGAATACAATCAATAATCTGATTAATTTATTCTAAACATCCTTACATGGCATCTCGGTGGTTGTTATTGGTTGTACAGTTGTCTTCACTTCAGGTAAAGCTTTCGATGTTTGCACTAAAAATTAAATGCAACAAATATATTATAAAAGAGTATCGATTGAACATTAATCTTAATGATAATCAAATGTTATCATTTTAGAAATGAAGCATTGATTTTTTGATTTGGTCTTCTAATTATTGTAATTATCATAACTGATTACTGTTGTAAAAGATGACATTTATCATTCTAGTGATGAAACGGTAATACTTACTGTTATAGGCGGTGACGAAACCGTATGTCGCATCATTTTTCTTGCCAATCACAAATATGCTATATGAACCATCTGATGTTATGACATAGAATCCTTTTGGTAGAGACATGGTCGAGTAATAGAATATTTGGCTATAAAAGGTCATTGGTGCCCAATTCCAGATGATTTCCGTTGGAATTTTATGACCAGCCATAGTAGAAGATGTTGCTTTAGTGTCACCTATGATCTGAAAAATTAACAGTGATACTTTAGAAGAAAAAAATAACAAAAGCTATTCTTTTTTTATTTAACTTAAATGAAATTCGTCAACTTAAATATATAGGAACTTAAATATATAGGAATATGATAACTTAACTCCTCGACCAATAAACTTTATATCCGTAATTCTGATTTCTGTTAAACTTTTTGGTGCCATTAAATTTCAATTCATTTTCTATCACTGAACTATATTTTCTTCAATATAACATTCATCACTATTACGAACTACTTTTTGAAGTATCGAATTTTGAAAGTGATGCCATTACAGTATCCTAATATATATTAATGAGATTGCTTATTAAAAGTTATGATTGGGAAATCAAACTTATATTAGAAACTTACCGCAACAATATTTTCATCAGTGGGTACAACAAAGGTAGTTAGACCAGTAACAAATTGTGACCATGCAACAATTAAATCAAGAAATGACCCTTTGATTAATTCATTCTCAGTGCCACCATATCGTAGTACTTGTAACATTATCGAACTAAAAATCATACTTTAACCGATAAAACTTGAGTTGTTTGAGAAGGGTGACCTTCGACTATTTAACTTTGTCCTATTACTCTTACCTGGAATTAATGCCTGCATTCAAACTGTATTCTTCCAACTTCACTTCGTTATAATGATCTGTTAGTGAACAAATCCTAGAACTTTCCATTTCATTGAATACGGTGAATTGCGAATCGTATAATGAGTCATCGCCAGATGTCACCAGGAATTTCTCCGTATACAACATCGAAATGTGATAATCGTTGACATTGTAAGGATCGAAAATTGTTTCTTTTAAATTAATTTAAGAACTGATTAATAAATGTGTCGAAACAAATGACAAATGTTAATAGTAATGGGTAACTTTAGTAAAATTAAATTAGATAAATGCTTCAATATGTGATAAATATTTGCTGAAAGCTTTTTTAATCATTTTAAAGTTGAGGTGAAAGATACCTGAAACTTCTAATACCTGAATCAAGAAGAGGGGTAGGCATATAGGCACCAAAGTCAGTCCTGGTTTCATCTGATGAGGCTATCAGTTTTGCCACTGCGACAATAACTGTAAATGGACTAGTTGCGCTTGCGACCAATGCTAAGTGAGTCGTTGCTTGTAATGCTAATAAATTCCCATTGGTATGCTAGAAGACAGTTACTGTATCACCGATTAACTATAAATCAGATATTTCATTACATTAAATTACCAAATATTACAGATTTTAATTGTTCACTTTAATTTTAATTAATTAATTGTTCCCTGACTTCTTAGCCAATTAAAATGATAATATATACATGATTATATGTTTATGATCTTACGATTGCTTACGATATCATCGATAAGCAAGGCTAACCTTCGGTGAAAATGATCTGTTGAATGGTACTTCATCAATTTCCCCAACTACGTTTATTGTCATTCCATCTGATAATGGTAAGAAATATACTGTCGTCATACCATCATCAGCAGGCGCTGGTGCAGCAAATGCATATTTATTTGTAGCCATTGACGATGGTAGTACTGTAATTAGTTTGATAACTTTTTTTCACGCTAATTGCTATTAATGTTGTTTATTAACATTGCAGTTTTTTTCATCAATAATTAAGCAATAATTAAAATTGCTGAGAGAATAGTTTAAAATAGCACTCAAAATTACTGTCTCTCTAGAATTCCATTTATAAATTTAAAAAAAAAAGAAGAGAGAATTGAAAATATTGAATTCAATCTACCACAGTTTGATTTTTTTTTTTTTTTACACCTTAATACAAATATTTGTATCATGTGAAAAGAATATGACAATAATACACTAACCAATGAAACTGTCACCAGCATTAATAAGATACCAGTTTAAAAGGACACTAATAGGTAGTTGTGATGAAGTGATATATATTCTGCTATCTGAACATTCCACCAACCTTACGAAAGAATCATTTTTACAGTTATTTATAGAAGATTGATTGAAGTGAACCTGTAAGATATTTGCGCTTACTTAACATTTTACACCTTAAATAGTCATAAATAACAGTAATTTAGTAATTTAGAGATTATTTTGAAAAAAAGAAATATCCAATTTTCCTTCTTCCCTTTCACCCCACAAAGTTATCTGAACAATGAAAATTATTCGATTAATTTGATAAGTAACATCAAAGCGATCGGATAATGTGATATGATATATGCATATTGCATATGACTAACACTAATGCTAACATAACATTAACTGAAATATTTCATATTGTTAGGATAGCTATGAAGTAAATTGAAGTTAGCATGAACCTAAGTTAGCATTAAATCAGAAAAAGAACTTACTTCCATAAAATTCATTGCTTGAACAATCACAGTGATTATTCGGATATCTATCGAATGATTATCAGTACTTTCAGCATATTTCATTTCAATTGATACTTCTTTACTATTTGGATTCATTAAAGTAACACTAATCATTGGTTTTTCACTTCCATTTTGATTGTTATTTGGGAAAAGTACAATAAAATGATGGCCAAAAGTTGCAGCATTGATTGATGCTTGAACATATGATCGATCATATGCTATTATTGCTAAAAATATTTACTTAATTTTTTTATTATTAAAATTTTTAATGGGAAAAGAAAACACGTAGGACAAATGTTAATGAAATTTTACATTTTATTTGACAATAGTTATCATTCATTAACTTTATATTAGTTTATTTTATAATTGATAATAAGTGGGTATTTGTGTAATTAATTGATTAATTAACTTACCCAGAAAAAGAATAATTTCATACTGCATTGTAAATTCAAACAGGTTTATGTGAGAAAGGAATTGATGACAATAATGATGTTTGAATGTTGACAATAAAAGAGACAAGAAAAAAGTTTCTTTCTTACAAAGGTCTTTTTTTAATGAGTGAATATTTTTTGGTCTTATCATTTTATCACTTTCATCATTCTCGCTTAGGAACATTTCTTATGATTTTATTTGTATGTCCGACAATAGTTCAAGAACATCCTTATGATAACGAATTAGATTTCGTCCTAAATTTCCTTTTTTTCCTTTTTTTTTATTTATTGCCAAAAAGTATGCCTTTTTTGCTTGTTAATTCAAAGGACAGAGATTTTCGTTTTATGTTTTGATTATATTTAATTAACTGATCAATCCAATAAGGTAATGAGTCCACTGATAAGTTCATAAAATAAAATTTAAAATATCTGTCATCAATTTCGATCCTATACCGATTTTAATTATCACATAAATCGTTTTCGTCAGATTTTATTATTTCCGAATCACTTCTTAACGATTAATTCCTTCGTATCGGTAGTCGTAAAAATAAAAAATCCATCATTTTTCAATTTTGAAAATTAATTGAAAATTTCAATTCAGACTTTTGAACAAGAAATTCAAAAAATGCTTATAACGCGGATATCATTTATTTTTTTTTTTATAAAATGAATCATATTGAGGTGTAATTGTAGTAACTCGATTGCTACAAAGTTCAAAAATATTTTGAAAAATTTGCATAAAGAAATTAATTTCTTTAACATTACTTGATCTATAAAACACAGTTACACACAAATTGTAAAACTTTGGCGCATTTGTTCTAACAATCTAAGCGCAGTTTTTACTTTTCAATACTTTCAACAATAAAAATCTTATAAAATGATGCATTTTAACTTGTTGTATTATTAAAATATCCCTTTCATAAGAGCGCTTTTTTCCTTTTTCCTACCTTACTTGTTGTCATTCGAATAAACTCACTTGACAACTATATATATTTCTTATGTCTCGTGTAAATCATCAGATAACGCTTATCGATGGCTTGTTTTCATTCTTAAAATATATGTCAAGACAAGACATGTGCACCGAATGATTAATGGTGAATGTGACAGGTTCAAATTGTCAAAGTTAATACGACAAGTGGCCTAATAATTGCTTTGACATAAGTATTTTTGTTTTACTTTCAAAATATACTAAAACTTGTTTCAATCAACAAGCAATTGTAATATGTTATCTTAATTTATATCTTGCTAATTACTAATATTTGCTACTAGTTTAATGTAATCTGAAGCGGATAATAATCAATGATTAGCTAAAAGTAAAATGTAACTTAATTAAATACTGTAATTTGTATGTTAATGTTGCAAAAATTTTAATGTTACTTTGTTCTTCGTTATTCAATTTTATGTCCACATCAATCAATTTCAAATGTCATACCCATCTTTTTTATTTTCATGTATTTCATTGATTATATCATAACATATATGATAGTGCAGATTGTACTTCATATTCCAGCTATAAAATGAAACTGATAAGGTGAAATCTTATCACAATGTACTTTAACGTAAGAATGAACTTCAAAAGAACAAGCAAATAAGAATGACAACAATACTCGAGACTATGTAAGAAAATAATTTTAATCTTTTTTGATAACGAAATTTTTTATTAGTAAAAGCATTGAATGATAATGATGATAAGATGAAATGTCTTGAAATATGAAGGAAACTTTAAATGCAAGTTTTTATCAGTTTACATTTTTAACAATCATTCAAATCCACTTGAGATTATCAATAAAATTTCATTCAATTGTACAATTATTGTATCGAAAATATGATAATAAAATTTTGTTGAATATGTATTTTACTACATTTTTAATGCAAAATTCTAAAAAAAATTACTATGAATTGATTTAATAAACTAAAATACATTTACAGTATATCAGTTTACTGATTATCGATGATACGTTTAGATACAGCGAAAGGCAATCGTAATTAATCATTCATTTTTAAAATGTGACAGATTTTAATCTTTCTAACAATTTGTGGAGTATATTATAAATGAAAATGAAAGATTAAGCTTATCATTGTGAACAAATCAGATTATTTGATGATTGATAGTACAAGTAAGATGTTATACGGTATGATTTATACATGCTTTCTAAAGCATTACCCATATTAAAGTCATTTTAAGCTAATAAAATATTGAATAAAGTAAGTACATCTCTTTCTCACTGAAGCATACTTCTGAAAAAAAAAAAAAAAAGCGTATGCGCATCAAATTATCGCACCAATTAATCAAATTATTGCACTAATTTAAATGAAACAAAAAAAAAAAGATGGAAGAATCATTTAATAAGTATAGCTTGAAAGAATGAAAAGGTAAGTAAATTACCTAAATATTCAAGTGCACTTATATAAAAATAGTATGAAGTTAATAAAGTAATTAAATGTTTTATATTTGAATGAGTGGAAGTGATTCGAGTGACCATTTAAATGAAATTCATTCAAACTGGCCAATACATAAATAATTGTGAATTAAAAAGCCCATAACATTCTTAAATTACAGCTAAAAATTGTTATATGTTAAAGATATGCTAAAACAATAACAATGTCTTTATCAGTATCTCAAATTCGATAAATTTACTACTATTTAAATTTCGATTCCTCTGGTCTTGGTAAGTTTTTTTTTCTTTTTTTTTTTATTGCAGGTGTATCATTTGTTTCTGAAATATCAAATTTGAAAATTGGACGAAAGGATGACCGCTCATAATGTATAGAAATGGCTCGTCAATATTATGAATTTTACAGTATCAAATTTAAACTTTTTTTTTAAACCGTTATCAAATATCAGGTGGTAGTAATTTAGTTCCATTCCTGCTAGATGGATCGTATTAAAAAAAACTGGGAAGTATTTTGTTCCTATAACGGTCAATTTAAACTGCCAGATATTCAGCTTTCTGAATTCGAAATATTGAATTTAGAAAACTAAGTAAAGGTGATATAAGTGTGTTTCAGAAATTAAGAACAATTGATTTGATTTAACAACCGGAAGTAACGTCTGTCAGCCAATCGATTCATGCTCAATGTTAATTGCATCAAATATAAATAAGTCAAATTTCAACGACAAACTTACAGTATTCAATTTTTTCAGTTTATTAAATTGCATGCTAAAGTATTTCTTGTTTTCGCCAATAAGATGTGCGCGAACATAGAAAATAACCGTTGTTCCATTTTTGTCACCGATTAGCCTTCCAATGATGACTCCTCATAGTACAAGAGAAATAAGCTTAAGCATTGCTAAATGAACAATTCCTTATACTTCATACGAATCAAGAACATACTTTATTGGCATGATTATGGTAGAAGTCATCTCTTCCTGATTTCCTTAATTCCTGATGTTCAGGAAAAATCAGTTATGTGTCATTCAACCCTATTGTTCTTATTGTATTGTGGAAAAAAAAAAGATGTAAAAAGGGATTTTTTAAAAGTTCAAATAAATAGATGTGTCAACAAGAGAAATGAGAGACAGTCAAATTGAACTTTATTGATTTTTAACCGGCCGTTTTACTGCACTTGTACTTTCATCAATAATTTCTCTTAGCGCAATAATTAATAGCAATTAAAAAACTAAAATGAAGGGAACGATTATGGCAAATACTCGGATATCACGGAATTGAACATTTTTTCTGTTATTCGGAAGACAAATAAGAACTTACATCCTTTCAGTCGTTTCAATTTTTGATACACCTTAACGGTATATCGTGAACATTCCCGTCTAACTTTTCAACCAAATTTTATCAAATTACTTTTTCTCTGATACCACATAGATGCTCGACAGTTGGCATTCTGCTCATGAAAATTCACTGAGGGAATGAGATTCTGACAACAATGTGGTTGGTCACTCAGATAATGAAATGGCCACTTTAAAAGTAAAAATGGCATTTTATAACACATTCGTTTGAAATCGGAATTTCTCTTGATTCACAACTGCTTTGCTAGTAAAGCTGAATCATTGGAATGATCTAAGCTCAGAACCATTCTGTAGTCCTTTTGGATCATCATCATCAGATGAGTAAAGAGTAAAGAGCATAAGGTCTTATTTCTGCTTTAATCCATGGATCGTCACGAAATTATGTCACGGCGGTTGAATAATTGGTCTTAAAATGTGACATTCTTTTCCCACTCCCACTCGGTCTATTCGTCCTCTTCTTGAAGAGATACTAAAATGAGTAGGTTTAATGTCCAGTTTGATGTCCACATCAAGATTAAAGTAATGATGGAAGAGGAAGCAAAAACGATTATGCTGTTTTCAGGAGGGAGCGGAAGAGTAAGCCATCAATCCATCCA